GGTTTGGTTGGTGATTTGGACGAGCTGTGTTATCAACAGTGGCACAAGAATCAACTCGACTGAAACACGTCTCCTGGCATGATGCCACACAACTGTCTCACATATACAGGGGGGGGGGCAAAAAAAAAGACATTTTGCCTATGTCGGACTTCGGCTCTTTTTTCTTCGCAGAGATTGCTGTCGTTGACGGGAGTTCCTCAGCAGAGTATTCCCTAAGTGTTCCTCTATTAGTGTACGCAGGCTCTCCTTCACTGCCCTCACCGTCTTCAGAATATGACGTCATCTGTCACCGTCGTCAGGCTCAAGGAGGTCTACCGTAAGAGCTTCAGCCTGAAGCTCTTACGCAATTTCGTGAATCGATTTAATGTTGGATAGTTTTCTAGAGGCATTAGCTACCACTGTGCAAATCCCCTCGGAAACTAGCTTTCCAGTAAGGGTCGTTATGGTACACGATCCTTCGAAGACCCCATTGAGATCGACCAGTGCACCATGTTTCCAGGGCTAATTCTTCTGATGCCGTCCACGTACGTGGCCACTATGAAGATTTTCTTATAGAATGGAATGCACTCTTTAATAATAAGTTGGAACCGTTCGGTCTGAGTTGAGTAAAATGTGCTTAAATCCATCTGGAAGTGGAGGCAAAATGGGGGGGGGGGGGGGGGGGGGGGGGGTGTCTTTTTTTTGCGCCCCCCCCGCCCTGTACTCGTCCATAACCCGGGCTTCGTGTCTAGCTTGAGCGAAATCAACCAGCCATACAAGCCGGCCCTTTGCCTTACCCTTGACGGATTCTGGTTTTTCCCGCCAATTGGCGTACCACACTGAACACCGACTCCACCCCCTTCACCATCCTTTGCCGGAACCTATCGTGATCGCTTCCGTTGAGTATAAGAGCGTGAAGAACTCGAAAATTGCAACATTTCTATGGGAGTTACCTACAAGTCTCTACTCTCCCGATCACTGGTTATGGGAAAAATTCGGAAGGACTGTCGTATAACTTCGTATAATGTTGCCCGAAACATAAACTGCACGTCCCATTTTCGGTTTTTGGGAAATATTTCGCTTCCTTGGCAATTGTCAAGATACACCGTGCTGTGCAATCCAAAGATTATGGGTGCAAGAAATTGCCCAACGTTTAAATGAAGTTCCGCCACCTTCAAACAGTGTGTTCCTTAAAAGTAGACTTTGCTTAAACGTTGGGTCCCGCCATTTTCAAACAGTGTCGAGTCGCTGGTACATCGTTCGATCGCTGGCACACAGCTCGATTCGCTGGTGCAACGCTCGTATCCAGCGATTCGCTAGCGAATCGCTGGATTCGCAAAGTCTGACATTCACCTAGGGCACGACAATATGTAGCTGCAGAGTAACGTGACATTGGAAGCGGGCCGAAGGCTGGAAAAGAAGTGAAAATCAGTGGATACGTAGGATACATACCGACATCGATGGTGATGATGGCGATGGTGATCCAAACGGCACAAAGTGGGTTGGGTATGAAGAGAAGACTGATAACGATCATGCAGACCACAGCCAAGGAGTCGTTCTGGATAGTCGACTGCAGAATCACGTTCAGCTGAAAATACCGAAGATGAATCTGAGATGCCTCGTTGAACACACGGGATTCTCACCTGATCAGCAATGGCACGACTGTATTGGTAGGTGAAAATCTCGAGATCAGGATGCTGAGCGGCCAGCTGACGCACTTCTTCGGTCACCATCACCAGATCGGTTGGAGTGTTGAGGTCATGGATGCCGATTCGGAATCGGAACGACACCAACGATAAGTGGTCATAATCGGAGTGGTTCGCCCAAACAAAGTCCTGTGACCTGAAGGGGAAAATTTGGAAAATCCGCAGAGTGCGAAAAGGGCTAGGAAACGGACCAGAGTTTGTAGAAGGCGAACAGCTGAGACCACTCGTACACCCCGATTACCCACGATTCGCGATCGTCGTTCAAGAATGAACCAGTCAAGGTTAGCGTATTTGAGGTATTCCTCTGAGCCATAGTGAGGTGCTCTTCGGACCATTACCTGCAATAGTGGAATTCCTAGCCAACCCCATCAACAAATTTTCAAGGGCCTATTGCTTACTGTAGGAGATTTGCTCAAATTTCTGAGCAATCTGCTCGATCCGCTCTCTGTTTTCGGCGATTGACATGTCTGGAGCTTTTTTGATGGCAATCTCGATCTGAATAGAATTTCACTGAATAGTTGGACGCAACATTTCCGAAAGTGCATTGAGCCCACCTGATCCCCGCTGGGAAAAAGCTCGATCTCTCTAGCGAATGCTTCCACAAGAGGGTCCGTTTGTAAGAGCAATTTGTCATAGTCCAAACCCTGTTCCATTACTGTTATGCCATAGATTGAGACCTTAAAAAATTGTTTCATGACATGAAGCGTTGTCTGCCGCTTGTCGTGCGGCTGGCAAATGAGCAACAAATACTCATGTTTTTCAGGTCAGACTTCGCGACCGTTGTGCGACTCACCGAC